CTCAAGATCATTCGAATTCTATTCAGGTGTCACTGATGGCTTTATGCCGACTTAGCCAAGATGATTGATAGAGTTTCACACATGCGCTCACTCACCATTCTTAATAATGCCTAATTCCAAACAATGGCAACAATAGCTACTGTAATCCTTGACTTGAACACTGATGTTTTTTGGTTCCGTGTTTTGGATCTCATATCCTTTTCCAGAGGCGACTATCCACCAAACGCAGGCCATCACTGCCACCTTCCGGTCCCTTGAACTCATGAATAACTGGAGGAAAAAGGATAGGAAGCTTTCCACAGCCACACTCGGCTCCATGCCTATACCGGGCAGGCTTGATCATGTGCCTTTGCCTTTAGCCCATCCGTCAGCCTCCAACTCAAAAGCGCCAGAGATTGCCATACAGCCCAGGAATCGAGGGCAGCCAGTTTTACAGCTGTGGGCTACACTATCCCAATAGCCATTCCTGAACACAGTCACTTCCCAGATGATTTCTCAGAAGAGGACCTGGGATGGATGAGTGCCTAACCATCACTGTGCTGATGTGCAAGTGACAAGGGTGGATGGTATTTACCAGTTCTGTGCAAATTACAGTCCTGACCAAGCATTTGAGTACCAACTTCATTACAGTCTCTGAAAATTTGTCTTTTCTGTCACTCTACTGATAATGAATGAATGCACTGTCTTTTAGAACCAGGAACATGGAATAAGAAAAAAGGCATGTCTATTAGCTCTTGCTCCCTTACTCAATGTCCCAAATTTGTAACCTCTGTAGATAGATTAACTTAGCCATCACTTTATTTCATTACCAAATGTACTTTCCCTTGTGAATACAAGACTAATTGAACTAATTTTATAAACTGGCATCTGAAATAACACTCCTTCCACTTCTGTAATAAAATTATGAATTAAGGGAATTTGGAAAGAACCTTACAATTTGCAAATGAAAACACCTCCAGTTAATCACATCTAGGCTCCAGCTTCACTGGATCTAGTGCTTGCATAATGTCAACCCCACTTTCATGGGCTAACTTGCAATAATTACTACCCCATCTCAAACTCTATGGCATCCCTGAATCCTGAGTTGTGTGGCCTAGGGAACATTTTTTTTAAATACTTATTTTTTAGTGGTAGTTGGACACAATAACTTTTACTTATTTATTTTTATGTGGTGCTGAGGATTGAACCAAGGGCCTCACATGCACTAGGCAAATGCTCTACCACTGAGCTACAACCCCAGCCCCCCTAAGGAACATTCTTAAGAATGATAAAGGCATGGCTGAGGTCCTGGATTCTGTATCTTAATACACAATCCTTGGTGTCCATATCTAAGTTACTTCTGAGGGATCTGGACAAGACATGATCAGTGCTAACAATGTGGACAGATTTCCTCCTGCTTCCACATCACTGCAACATTCAACTATGGTGAAAAGCCCACTCTTCAGGAGTAGTTTAAATATCAGCACATGGTTGCTCTCTTACTGTTCTATTTTAAAACCATTATGTCACACCTTCTAACAAAACAAATTTTACAACATTCTTAGGCTAAAGAATGTTTATTATTAGTGCCCTCAGAATGCCTCTACTAAAACTATCATTGTAATGCTAAACCAAATATAAGTAGTCAATTTGATTAAGGTCTCCAAGTTAGGGGGGAGGGTTGTTTTTGCAGCACTGGGGATTGAACCCAGAAGTGCCTTACCCAGCGCTCCCCCACACCCCATTATTTGAGACAGGGCCTCAAACTTAATCCTCCTACCTCAGCCTCTAAGCAGCTGGGATTTCAGGCATGTGCCACTACACTTGCAGGAAAATGTTTTTTTTAAAGCTCTATCTACCAATGGTGCAGGACATCCTAGTGGTAGTGACATTAATAATAAGAGTCAAGATAAAACTGGTATAAGATAAAAAGTGCTTCTGGAGCTAGTTCTGCCAGATTCAAGCTGTGGTTTATTTATTTATTTATTTACTGAATGCCCTGTGGCATATGAACCCTGCAAAGTTCTGGCTGGTTGAAAAGTAAGATTTCACCAGATCTTCAAACCACAACATGCTTACATGGTGCTGGCCCAAATCAGATGAGCTGGATTAATACTACAGCCCCAAACTTCTACAGGGGCCTAAGATAGCAGCCTCCTCAATCTTTATTTCTCCCATGGAGGAACTAACCAGGCCCAAACCCACTTAGCTTCTGAGACTGAACAAGGTTGAACATGTTCAGGTAAGTATGGCTGTAGACCATACTTTTTCTAATGGAAATCCTTTTACGAAGGAAAATGTGCTTTTGTTCTTTAAAGCAGAAAAACAGAAGGTGGGGTTAGCCCAGATGATAAGGCCATAGCATTGATTCTTTTTGCATATTTTACATTCATTTTGCTCCATGCTCTGCCCAAACTACATATAAACTCCTAAGGTGGCACACCAAAATGAGGTTTTCTGCTATCAGGCCTCCTTACACAAAGTGGGACTTCTATCTTGCTTAAATAAATCTTACTCTGTTTACTCTTCCCTCCCATTATTGTCTGTAGATTTTATTCTTCAGAATGTGCAGGCAAGAACCAAGAGGAAAGTGGCAAAATAGGGAATGAAGTCTCACTCAAAACTCCAGTTTCATCTTAAGAGGAAAGCCAATAGCATAATGCCAGGGCTTACTCTAAATCCACTTTTCTAAACTATGCTTCCCCCAACAGTCACAAAACAACCTGGTGACAAGTGTTCCAAAGTTAGTCTGAGAAATGGTTTCCAAGAGGTTCCCAGACCTTCTAACTCCCACCTACTCTTCTCCCAGTACACACTGGGAAATAAATTCCAAGGACAGCAATGTGAGTGATAACAGGTCATTGCTACAGAAGGCACGATACTTGCCTCAGCTTGCTAACAGTGAAACCTCAGAAAACCCCAAATCTTCCCACAAATCAGCTGAAAGTAAAACAGTAGCTAGAAGAAAGGGGGGACACTGAGTTTCATCTTTTAAGCCATTAGCTGAGGGGAACTGGGTAATTGATAAATACAAATACTCTAGCCCTACATAACCAACTACATTCAGAACATGTTTTTGCTGCCAGTGATTTCAAACAGCTCATATGAAAAATCCAAGGCTGTACATTTGCATTCCTTCCCTATGAACACTGGGATTGGAAGTAATCGGATGTCTCTGCACTACATTTTTCCTAATTCTCTGCTCAACAGGTATAAAGTGCTCTTCTGTCCCTGGGGTCCCACCATCATCTAGCCACACTCACCGGCTATGACAGCAGTGGCCAAATGTTCATTTTTATACTTTGTTCAGGCTCAACTACATTTATCTTAGCTATCCCCTAAAAGCCTCACGTGACTGATGAATTATAAATTAAATGCAATACAGCCTGACTTACCCTTTTAACTCATTCAGCCATGCCCATCCCCACTTGCTTCTGAATGGCAGCAGATCCAACAGAAACAGGCAGAAGTGGGAAAACAACTTTAGCTTGGAATTTCTGGAGAATGTTTTTTAGACACCCAAAAGAACTGCTAAAAAACTTACTTCTTTAATTATGATCATAAACATAACTAGGATCCTATCAAATTTTCCACAAAAACTATATCCTCCCCACATCATTCAGTGATGCAATCTCAGTACTTCACCATGCAGGAATTGCATGTCATAGGCAAAGAGGATCAAGGCTTATCAGCAAAATAAAATGCAAGTGAATGAAACAAAGCTATAGTTCACACATGTTATCGACTTGGCAATACACTTCTCTAGATCTAAACTTCCTCATTTCTGAAATAAGTTTTAGACAACGATCAATTATCAGGCCAGTCCATGAAGTATTGATGAGCACAGGCTTAGCTAGAAATTATTAACAATACACAACAAGCTGTAAAGCATATTGTTTTAGAATCTGTGATGGAGGTCTATCTCCTTGCAGAATAAGATGAAGTATGGGGTGTACAGACCACAGAAGCAGGCATTTGGAAATAAGCTAATTCTACATTTACAATGAAACTAGTTTTATGCTGTAAGTCATTAAAGTTCCTTATTTACAAAGCAAGACAGGTTGAATTTCCTGTATTCCAAATTATCAAGGGGAGTCTCAGTTTCACATCTCATGTTTTGGAGCTTGGAATTTAGAAAGACATAAAGCAAACACAGAGCACTAAATGGGTAGGAAGTTCACATATAGAATATAAATTAAAAAAGCAAAATGCCTTCTGTCATCTAATCAAAGGACTCACTGCTTTGGGCACCATCATGCCTTTTTTGGGGACACCAGACCTCACTTTTATAATACAATACAATTTCAACCTGTGATATGAAGCCATTAACACAAAGGACCACAGCAGTCCATATAAAAAGCAGCAATAAGGGACTGGGGTTGTGGCTCAGCGGTAGAGCTCTTGCCTAGCACGGTGAGGCCCTAGGTTCAACCCTCAACACCACATAAAAATAAATAAATAAAATAAAGGTATTGTGTCCAACTATAACGAAAAAAAATTTTTTTTTTTTTTAAAAAAGCATCAATAACGAAAATGGGCACTTTGCTACAGAAGGCAAGAAGGACCACAGCAACTTCCCATTATGAAAAAAACCCACACATACTTGATAAAAGCTCTCATGAGCCAGGCCAGTGACAGGGGGAAAGTGGGGGTCTCGACCAGATGAACCTCAGGCCAAGTCATGTGAGGGGTGAGACATGGTAAAGCTAATGTTCAGGTTGGGAAGATGACTCCATCCATCCTTGTTCAAGACCATACCAGAGCATTATTTTCTAAATCCAACAGGCTATAACACCAATTTGTCCTTTTAAAAGATAACATTAACAATTACATCTAGTATATTTTTTTATTGCATTACTTGCTAATGAGAGGCATGTCTTGTGTTCCAACTGGGAATCCACATGCTCAGTACCAGAGCAGACTCCAGTCTCCATAACATCCCAAGTACACACCCTGAGCAAGTCCAGGACTGGAGCTTGTTGCTGCCATTTCCAAGAATGAAAAGAAACAAACGGAATTCATTAACTTATTCAAAATCCTTCTACAATGATTTTATTATAAATATGTTCTTTTGGAATAAACAAATATTGCATTCAAGACTATCTGCCAACTTGCTCTAAGGTAATAAAAGAGAAAAAATGGGACCAGGAACCATCTAGAAGTAGAGACAAATAGCAAAGACACCTGCATATCGTGCTAAGCGCCTTTCTCCCAAGAAGGAACAGAAGGTCTAGAGGGAATATCACATTTCTCATTAGCCTATTTGATTAAAATAAGCTTTGAGTTTGGTAATTTGCACTTGTTCTGTAAACTGAACTGCTCCTTGCCTCAGTCCTAAGAAGCAGAATGGGAAGACAGCCAGTCTTCAGATCCCGAGCATCAACAACAACAAAAAAATCTTGATTGTGTGTTTGTAACTCTTTGTTCAAGACAAAAGTGTTCCCTATTTGCCAGGAGTAATGTCAGAGTAATCCTTCAGCACTCCAGCCAAGTGTTCGTTGTGAGTCTTAAAACGTCGTTTTTTCTGTGAAGCAGGTTTTTTCCTTCTCTGAATAGGAGCCTAAAGGAAAAAACAGAAACAATAGTAATTCCCGGGTGGTTAGGATGGTCAGGATTTAAAAAGCAAGCTCAGAAACATGCAGTAAAGAATGCAGAGTTTCCCCTGCTCTGTGACCCAGCCTCACATACACCCATCCACAGCACACATGCCAACCTCCAATCAGACTCAGTACTTTCTGTTACCATAAGGTGTGAACCTACATCAGCAATAAACAGGTTGTCACCATAACTTACCAGAACTATTCTAGGCACTAAGTGGATAAAACAAAAGAGAGGTAGTGAAGCTCTTGGGTTTTTGTCTCTGTTATCAAGTCTAAAAATATATTCACCATCATCAATTTAAAGTGGGGGGCCTGAATACTGAGATATAGCAAAACAGAAATGGAGAGACACAAAGATTTGTACTATTATTCTCCATTCTGTATATTTGAAATATTAATAACACATGATTAAAAATCAATAAACTAATAATAGGTCATCATGAAGGGCTGTAATTACACATTTGTGGACAAATCACTGGCACTAAATCTTCCTTTTTGAGTCCTAAAAATTCACTAAGACACACACTGCACACACCCAAAAAGACACAAAGATAATCTCCAAAGTATGATGATGGCAAAGGAGAGAGGGAGAGTCTCACATGTTAGTAAATTACTCCCCACCTGGCTCCATTCTTGGACTACAGGAATCTAGGTTTTGCTTAGCTGATACACAGCAATTTACCAGTTTTATGTGATTACTAATGCCTCCTATGAGAAGAATTTAGGCACTACAAAGAAAACAATATCGGGTTCCCAAGGGACCTGAAAATCAACAAGGACAAGTCAACATGATCAGAGACAGCAGAACTAAGTGACAAGTCTACAAAGCTCACAAAGCAAGGGGAAGAAAGCACAATTACAGTGTTAAAGGCCAAGCGATGAAGACACAGGCTCCTGTAGAAACTGGGATAAGTGTGTGCAGAGGTGAGAGAGTAGGCAACACTGAGGCCCCAGAGTCAGGGAGGCAAGGCTGGAGCTCAAGAGCTGGCATAGTTAGAACAGGCTAACAGGCAATGGGAAGCTCTCCCCAGCCTGGAGAACAGCACCCAAGGGCAGTTCAGTTGCAGACATGATATGGGTTACATCTGACCAAATCACTGGACGAGACAAAGAAAAAACTGGAAGGGGGACTGACTACTGGCTTTTCAGAGAGAACAGGAAGCAGCTAACAGAGAACAGAGGATTGATTTTTTTTTCTACAGATTACACACCACTTTCTTTGGTCCAGATTCCTGCATAGAAGAAATACCCTGTCGCTTCAAATATTCTTCAATTTTCTCCTCATCCATTGAATCCACAGTGACACTCCTCCAGAGTTTCTGGAATTCTGTATCAACAAGAAAGCAGTTATTTTATCATTTATTTTTACAAGTCATAGAATCTCTGTAATCAAAATCCAGGCTTCAATATTATCACCTCTAGGCCTGAATTAGTACATCTGAGATTTCCTTTTAAAAACAAAGGCAGACAAGAACATTCCAGTGTCCGGACACTAAGCGGCAGAAGGGCCTGGGAATAGAATGGCATACACACAGACTACGTCAGTGATGCTCTATTTTTAGAGGCCAGAAAGCAAAGGATGATGTGATAAAGCCTCCTGCTCCCTTAGGCCTTCTCTTTCCTGGGGAAGAAAAGGCAGTCAATACTCTCCTTTATTTCTAAAGTCAGTTCCCTCCATTTTAGGCAAACAGTTCAATTCCTGCTCATCTGCCCTGAGCTCAATATACTCCATTTTCTCTCCCACTGTTAGTAAGAAACATGCAGAGAAATGAGAGAAATTCACTTGCAAAATCTTTTGAAATCAAGGGATTGGTGACTAAGAGGATAACTGAGATGGAAACATTGTCTCACAGCTCCCATGAAACAAAGAAGAAAGACTACTGTCCAGCCTACATCTTGTCCTCAGAAACCTATGGTCCCTCTGAAATATATATCCAAAGTGAAAGTTCTTTGCCTCTTAATTCTCCTCCTAAAGACAGATTCTAATAACTGGATTCACCTATCAGCATCTACTTTCAAAAACAAAACAAAAAACTTCTTGTGATGGAAAAAAATCACAAAACTCAATACTCTGAGGGAAAAAAAAAAGGAAAGTCCTTAGCACCGAGGTGGTTCACTGGACCTCCAGTTCACAAAACCTGCCTTGCCTACCTGCCTGCCCCCTATTGAAAACCCTCATCCCACCTCCTTTCCTTCTAGGGCCATTAATTTTCCAGCATAGTCATTCACAAGCTATAAATGAAGTAGACACCAAATAAAGTGCTGGACTAGATTTTTTATTTTCCTTTGCCCTCTTTTCTAAGTTCCTTCCTTTTTTCTTATTTCAGTACATACTACATGAAGTAAATGATAGGGAAACAGAAATCCAGTGAATCTATTAGGGTGCCCCCACACCCTGAAGCTTTTGTTGCTGGTGACCAATTGCCAAAAATAACATAATCTACTACAAATAATTCAACCTGGGCACAGAACATCTCTAAGATGTCTGTATTTCCACAGATATATATTAGGGGTTCTTTATACTATTATACTCATTGAACTTTCATCTGCTCACATTATAGACATTAACTGATGACAACTGTTTGCATGCAGGGAACTCTATTTTCATCTGATTCCCACGGTAGCAGGCACTGTTCCTACCATGTTGACAGGTACTACAACTCACTATGAACATATGAAATACTACTGTCCACCAAGGCCTAGACACCATAGGCCATTTTCTTTTTACATTTTTAATATTTTTATTTAAAATAAATTTGCACTAACAAAAAGTTACAAAGTTAGTATATAGGTCCCTTCATACCTTTTATCCAACATTCCTTAATAATAGCACCTTAAAAAACTGTGTATCTATTGAAAACTTATAAATACTGACATAATATCACTAATTGACAGGCACTTGAAATGTATTATTGTTAGCAGGAACACCCCTCTGGTCCAGGAACCAATCCAGGATGCCACCCTGCCCTAATCATATCTCCATATTCTCTTCAAATCTCCCAAGGGTACCCAGTCTGTCTTTGTCCCTCATTTCTGAAACACTTCTAAAGAGTACTGGTCAGTTATATTGTAGAAGGTTCTTCATCTGGCTTTGTCTGATATTTCCTCTAGACTGAGATTTCTGCATTTCTGGCAAAAATAACACAGGAATAAGGCTGTGTTATTCCTATCAATTGACAATTGCCTTATTGTCAATATATCTTATTACTGGAGCTGGTTAACTGATTATTGATTAAGGGGTATCTATTAGGATTTTCAGCCATGAAGCTATTAGTTTTTCCTCTGTAATTAATAAGTGTCTTAGGGAGATACATTCTGAGACTATGCAAATACCTTATTTCTCATACTTTCACTAACTTTTGCATATATTAGTCACTCTTGCATATAATAATTATTATTTGTGAGTGCCTACTGCAAATGATTTCCATCATTTCTTCCACATTTATTATAGCTCTACTGCTGCTTTCTCTAATTTGTTTTTTAATTATTTAAGTGAATAAGGTCACATGGATATAATTCATTATCATCATTATTTGTGTTGTTGTTCAAACATCCCAGCTTTAGTTGGTTCCAGTGTCTCTGGCTTGTCTTTTTTTGGGGGGAAAGACACTCTTACTTTTTGGTACCAAATGTTGTTCCAGGCTTATCTTGAATTTTCCAAAATTTGGAATCAATCATTTCTCCAAGGATTCAAGACTTACTTTACTGCAGAATGGTATTTACAAACTAAGATCTATGCATTCTGTTTTTTTACACCAATTTTTCTTTTATGAAACTAGAAAATGACAAGATAACATCAAATTTGAAGATGCTTCAATTTAGCAGAAGATCCCCAAGTACAATGAAAATCAGGTATGTTCTAAACTCTAAGGGTAAATAAAATCAGAACTAATTGATAAACCCACTGTCTCTTAATAGAAAAGAGAACAGGCTAGAATTTATAAACTGTGCCATGAAGGGAAGAAAATAAGCAAACTCAAGGAAGTTTTGCTGAAATTCCCATTAACTCACTCACAATTTGGCTATGACTACTCTTTCCTGTGAAATGGTAGAACAGTGTGGTGCAGACTTCAGAGCCACAAGGCCAGGGTATGACCTTAGTTATCCCATTTACCATATAAAACAGGGCAAGCTCTCATTTCTCTGCTCAGTTTCCTCATCTATAACATGGAGATAACAATAACACCTGTCTCATAGAGTAGTGAGAAATAAGTTAAAAATAAGTAAGACACTAAAAATAGTGCCTGTAAAGGAAAGGTGTTATTATAGTTATCTCTACCTATCATCATCTAACATCCATTATCTTATTTCTGTGTGCTAATGCCTTTAATAAAAGCAGTATGAAACATTTATGAAAAGGACCGGCTACTAGATTCTAAAATTTTCTTAAGCAAAATCACAAAAGTGGAAACAACCCAAATGTCCATCAGTTGAAGAATGAGTAAATAAAATGTGAATATGAACACAACATTCTTTTTCACTATAAGGATTAAGGTTCTATACTTCCCTCTAAGCACTCCATAGCTGCATCCCTTAATTTTGACACACTGTGCTTTCATTTCATTTAATTCAATAATTTAACTTCCTTGTTATTTATTTCCTCCTTGAACCATGGGTTAATGTTGCTGTTTAATTTTCAAATGGAGAGTTTCCAAATATACTTATTACTTATTTCTTTTTTCTTTTTTTGGTACCAAGATTGAACCCAGTGGTGCTTAACCATAGAGATACATCCCCAGACCTTTTTCGTATTTTATTTACACTGAGTTACTTTAGGACCTCGATAAGTTGCTAAAGCTGCCTCAGCCTCCCAAGCCACTGGGATTACAGGTGTGCATCACCATGCCCAGCTTGTTATTGATTTCTAGTCTAATTCCATTATGGTCCAAGCACACCCTTTGTATACTTTCAAAGACTTCTTTTGTGAGCTAGAATACCATATACCTTGGTGAGTATTCCATATGCTCTTAAAAATATTACTGTAATTACATCAAGTTATTAGAAGCCCTATATCCTCATTTTCCAAATTGGTTTAATTATCGAAAGAGAAGTATTATAGACTCTAGTCTTAACGACTCATCTGTTTATTTCTCCTTTAAGTTTTCCATTTTTAATTTATGCATTTTTAAGGTCTGTTGTTAGATATATACATACTTAGGGCTATTTAAGACTGTAGGAGAATTGATCCCTTTATCATTGTTTAATGTACCTTTTTATCCTTGGTAGTTTTCTTTGCTCTGTAGTCTATGTTATTTGATATTAACATACATACCCTAGCCTTCCTTTGATTTATGTTTCCATGGTATATCATTTTTCACATCCTTTCACTTTTCATTTATTTTAACCTCCCCCGCCTCAAACTAGGGATTGAACCCAGGGATTCTTGACCACTGAACTACCCAACCTTTTTTTTTTTTTTTATTAGAGGCATGCACCACTATGCCCAGCCCATGTCTTTATATATAAAATTGTGTTTCTTACAAATAGCATATATAAGGATTTTGCTTTTGTATTCAATCTGAAAAACCTGTCTTACTAGACTTATACCATTTATATTTAACATAATTATTAATATGGCTGAAATAAAATTGTCCTCTTGTTCACTGTTATTATCTGATCCATCTACTCTTGGTTTTTTCCCTATTTCTTTTTTTAATTTAGATTAACCAAATATATTTCTATGATTCCATTGTACCTCCATTATTGGTTATTTATTTATGCCTCTTGAAAAAAATGTTTTAGTGGTTGTCCAAAACTTTACAACATAATTAATCAGAACCTCACCTCAAACTATGCCATTTCTCACATAATATAAAAGATATTACTACAGTATATTCAAAACTAACCATCCCTTATTTTACTTTTGTGTGTGTCGTGCATGGGCACTCTAAACACAAAATACATTGCTGATATTTTTGTTTTATGGTCATCTTTCAAACCAATGAAAACTAAGAAAAGCAAAAAAAATTAATAAGTAAGTCATGAATCTTATATCTTTGTTTATTCTTTCTCCAGCACACTTCATTATTTATACAGATCCAAATTTCTAGTGTTAAATCCCTTCTGCCTAAACAACTTCCTTTTATATACGTCTAAACTCTTTCAGTTTCTGTTTCCCTGACACAGTATTTCTCCTTCATTTTTGAAACAAGTATTTCTGCAGAGTAAAGAATTCTGAGTTGAAAGATTTTACCTTGGGCCATTTAAAGATGTCACTGCTAGAGTTCTTTACTAGTTATTAACATGTAAAAATAACATTTTCCAAGTTTTCATTTGTATTTTTTAAAATTTTTTTTAGTTGAAGATGCACACAGTATCTTTATTTTA